TCCTTTTCTTAACTTGTAGGAAAAGCCTCTTAGTTGGAGCATCACCCTCTTTTAGCCAGTTACACTTAAGGCGTTGCCGCCAGTAGTCAAACTGAAGACGACATTGAGGAACAATATTTGACAGTGACCAAACAAAAGCACCCCTTCATGAATGGTATTAATTGCCGAACCAAGAGACAGAAGATCATTCGTGAACCCCCTCCAACTCACCCCCTAAAATTTTTTGTTAACAAGGTACCATTTTTTAATATAATAACGAACCAGACGTTGGCTCCTAGCAAATATAAAAGATGGGGACCCTTGGAAAAGAGTAGGCCAAAAAGAACCAACCAAGTTTTTAACTTCCGAGAAATTAAGACACCATTGTTCCAGTTGGTACGGACGATTTGACCGAACTTGCAGTAGGTTCAAGTCATACACAATAGCCGCATGGTCAGAGACTAAGATTGGCTCATGAAAAATCCGGCCATCCAAAAAGTGCTCCAACCAACCCGAAGTGACATAACCCATATCCAATCTTTCCATTATTAAATCATCACCTTGCCGCATATTTGTCCAAGTAAATTTTGGACCCAATAAAGGAACATCAACAACATCATTTCTAATCTCCAATCAAGGAAAAGATCAAGCCCTCTAATAAGAGGACTTCCACCCAATTTATCCGATAAAACCTCTACTTGATTAAAATCACTCAAGAGTAAACACTTCGGATAACTACGTAAAATATTAGTAAGAGTATGCCTAACCAAAGGACGGTCATCCAAACACGGAGCACCATACACAAAAGCTACAAATTTTTCCATTCCACTATCATCAAGTATTTTACACAAAATGACATTTTGAGTAGTCAAAAGACAAGCAACGGGGGTGCTAGTCCAAGCAAAAACCGCTAAACCACCCCTAGATCCTATAGAATCTATACCAAAACAAAAGTTCGGGGAACAACTAGCCAACAAAGGCCTAACCATAATTAAAGTATAAACTATTAGGGTCATTTATGACGAACACGAACGATTAAAAAGAGCTCTACCCAATTAGTTTTTTGGGGTGTAAACTGCAAAGCTCTACCCAATTAGTTAAATAAATATATAAAAGGAGTAATTGTCAAAAAAGTAAGTGCAACATTTTTAAAAAAATGTTGCAAAAGAAAAGTGTAACACTTGAAAAAAAACGGAGGGAGTATCAACATTTTTTAATATCGTGCAATATTAGTCTAAAATACATGCAATTTTCGTTGATATTTTTTATAAATATATGTTAACAGGGCTGTCAAAGGGCCGTGTTGATATTAAACGGGTTGATAAACTCGTAACCCAAACCTAACCCATTTATTAAATGGGTTGAATATCTTTGACCCAAACCAAACCCACTTATGAAATGGGTTACCTGTGTAACCTTTTAAAGTTTTAAAGACAACATGAACATCATGTACCCACTTAAAACAACAAATCTAAAATCTTTATGGGAAGGATCGTCACTATTTTTTTTTTTTTTAATATCGACTAGTATTTAGCCTGCGCAATACACAGCTTAATTTTTGGCTATATATACTTTCTGAATTAAAGGATTGTAATGTCGTATACTCCGTATTTGAATTGTTCTTAGATTTTTGTTTAAATCAGAACATGTATAAATATAAATTGCATTTTATTAGTAAAATGAAATGCAATATATTCTTGTAAATTTTGTCAACAACTACCGTTTAAATGACTACTTTCAAAAACAACTACATATTAAAACTTTTATTTGAAAAAACTACCACAAAAACACAAAAAGTTTAAGTAACACTACCACTTTTGCTTTTCCGACAAGAATCTCCGGTTAAGTAGACCCAATCTAATATCATATCACTAATAAATGAAGCCAGTCTCGCAGTCAGGCCACGAGGCAGTGACACTTGGTATTCCAGAGGCGACAAATAGATATTATTGTGACACATATAATACCAAGTAAGCGAATTTTGGATAAATTTTTATGATAAAAATGCTGTATAGAGTTTTATTATCGATATATTTCTAATATTCCATATATACAAAACCAATTATAACTTTTAATAAATATCCTATAACTCTTTAAAATAAGATCCATTTATAATATATTTAATTTTTTCATAACAATAATAGAAAACCAAAAAAAATAAGTATTAATAAAAAATAATAATTTTAGTTTGGTAAGAATAACATAGATATCTATTTACAAACAAACTACAAAAAGTACATTATTATATAAATAAGAGATATGATACCATATGTTATATGATCGTATTTAACATTTGAGCCAAAAATGTTATTCTAAAATTTTATCAACAATTCGGGTATCGCCCGGGCATAAAAGTAAGCGAAGTTTGGATAGATTTTTAAAGATAAAAAATTTGTATAGAGTTTTACTATCGATATATTTCTAATATTTCATATATACAAAATTAATCATAACTTTTAATTAATAAATATCTTATAATTCAGTACTATTTCCATCATAAAATTCGTTTTAAAAAGTTCTTTAAAATAAGATCCATTTATAATATATTTAACTTATTTACAAATATAGTAGAGAATTAGTGAAAATAAATTTTAATCATGAAAAATAATTTTTGTTTTGGTAAAAATACTTTTAGTTCAGTAAAAATAATTTTAGTTTAATAAAATATATTTCAATTCAGTATGTCTAAATATCCTTCATTATCAAAAGAGATTATATGATCGTATTTAACATTCAATCCAAAAAGTTTATCCTCAACTTTTATCAACCATCCAATCGCCCAGGCACAAAACTAATATATATATAAAGGGGAGTTTTTTCCCGAATTTTTAGAGATCCACGTAGGATAAAAAAAATTTAATGCGCCCTGTAAGATTATAAATTTTAGTTATAGCCAATCAAATAAGAGATTTATAATATTTTCTAAAATTAATTAATCCAAATGTCACATAAGCAAAATTGGCGAATGAGATTTTAAAGTTTAAATTGATTAAAATTAAATATTATCTTTTGATATTAGAAATTTTATCTAAATATATAGGGAGAAAATTCTCAATTTAATTTAGTTTAAAATGAAAATAATAAATAATACAGTACGTATAAAGAATAAAATACTACTAACAAATATCACATACATAAAATAAAAAAAAAAAAAAATTGTTTTCAAAAAATACAAAACAAATAAACCGTGCATCGCACAGACTTCCTCTAAAAACCCATAAAATTGTCTCTACATTAACCCTAATTGGGTAGTACAATTCAATTACACCAAATCCCCCAATTTCATAAAACCCTAAATTTAATTTTTTAACATAAACCCTAATTTTAATATTCAACTGAGAAATTAAATCATCTACAATGCGAAATTAAAGATAATTTACCTATAAGTAAACCCCACCAACCGGAGGTTCTTGCTGGAAAACCAAAAGTGGTAATGCTACTTAAAATTTTTGTGTTTTTGTGGTATTATTTTTCAAAAAAAAATAAAAATTTAATAGGTAGTTGTTCTCAAAAGTAGTCATTTATATGTTAGTTGTTAGACAAAATTTCCTATATTCTTCTTCAAACAAAACATTAAAAAATCACTAATACTTTTGATCAAAATTTTATTATTATTAAGGAAAAATTCATGGGAATAATCCCACCTTTGGGCCGTTCGCTTTTAATAATCACACCTTTGTATTATTTTTTAATAATCCTACCTTTACCCTCAATTCTTTTTTAATGGTCTCAACCAGTCATTTAACCTGCTATAGCAAGTTACATGACACGTGTCGCAATCTAATTGGCCTAAAATATAAAACAAATTAAAAGAAAAAAATAAAAAATTATACTTAATTAATTAAGAAACTACTTGTTTCATAAAATTAAAAAAAAAAAAAAAAAAAAAAAATCCCACCAACCCAACCACCCTCCACGGCTGCCCACTACCACCAGCCCTCTTTCTCATCTTCTTATCTCTCATCAGATAATTCTCTCTCAATTGAATATAAATCAAGGAAGGTAATTTGATTAATTGCAATTTTTGTTTTTGCAATTGATTTCGACCAATTATACTATTCCATTGTTGTGTAATTTGTGGCCAGTTCATCAAATTGGAGGAATTTAAAAATTAGGATGGGTGACCCTATTTAATTCGTAATGTTTGGCGAGTTTCGTCATGTACGTATATGCTCTCATCTCTTGCTGTTGATGCGGCCATTGTTGGAATTAGAGCTTTTTTCCCTAGATATAAGTTTTTATTTTGGGTGTTTTTTTTTTTTTTTTTTTTTTTTTTTTAATTATTTAGGGACTTTGAAATTTGGAAAAATAGGAGTTCTAGATTTGGAGAAATTGGAGGAAGAAAGTGAACATGGTGCCAGTCATATAACCGCATAGCACGCTCTTGAGGTCTTGAGGACGACGGTTAGGGCGCGACGATGCTGGGGGCTGGGACGACGGTGAGGCAGGGAGGTAGCTGGTAGTGGTATTAATTTTTAATTTTTTTTTTCATGAGAAAAATATTAAAAATAATTAATTAATGTTATTTGCTAATTATCATTTCTTAAAACAAAATTAAAATTAAAACTTATTTTATTGACCAATTACGTGGTGACACGTGTAAAATAAACTTAAAAAAAAAAATTACCTCTTCAAGCGGTTACTGGTCACCCGGAACCATTAAAAAAGAATGGGGGTAAAGGTGGTATTAAAAAATAATCCCAAGATGGGATTATTAAAAACGAATGGCCCAAAGTAGGATTATTCCCATGAATTTTTCCTATTATTAATGATGTCTTAATTAGTTAATATCAAGAAACACTGTGATAATGCAAAGATGAATAAAATTATTTGTACAAAACTAATCATATAAAACTCTTCTTAAATTATTACTATAGTAACCATACACAAAAGATGAAGCTAATAACGAAATTAAAAACATAATTAGAAAAGTTCAAATAAAATATTGTTTTAAAGTTCTAATTCAAAATCTAGCCAAAACAATAATAATAAAAAATAAATAAATACAAACAAAAACAAAGTTAATAATAAATCTATTAACTATTAATAAAACAAAACATCGCTTGAAACTGTCCTACGTGGCTCCGTGTCATTTCCACATTAAAATTTTTCTCTACCAAGAGACACAAATGAAAGTTGATCATTTTATTTTTAACATTTCAATTGAAAAAAAAAAATTCAGTAAAGCAAGAAGAGGACAAGTGTCCTTTAAACTTCCTATTTTAAAATAGTAGTATAGATAAGACGAGTGCTTCCACATCGACCACTTCAGTCACTCTCGGGATCGAAATGCAGCAATGGATAAAGTGGATGAATAGGAACATAAGATGAATAATACACCATGCTTAAGGTCATTTGAAAGACTCAAGAAACCCACTGCTGAGGAGTCTCTCCACATATTTCCCCAGTATATCCACCTCCAGATTCACTTTCTGGCCAACTTTTTTCAATGGTATCACTACATTTTGCTGAGTGTAAGAAACCAACATGAAGTTGAAGCATAGTTCATCATCAAACACATTCACCACTGTCAAACTTGTACCATCAACTGTTATAAACCCTTTAGGAACAATATACTTCAATAAATCTGGACTAGTCTTTACCCTTACCCACAAAGAATCATTCTCTGGATCAAGCGATACAATTTCTCCCGTCCCATCAACATGTCCCTACATTTGAAATTAGGAAAAAAAAAAAAAAAAAGAAAAAGAATCAAATTGCCAACAATGAAGCATTAGTTAAGCTATACTCAACTTCAGAGTTAGAACCCAAATTATTTAAAAAAAAAAAAAAAGAAAAAGAAAAAGAAATCTTAATTAAGAGTATTACAAGTATTTACATACTCAGCAAGTACATGCAGTCATGCAGACTTGCAGAGTGAAAAATGAACCACTAATAAACAAATACTCTGTAAATGGTATAGTGTTCCTCGAGGAAATGCAATTTATCAAGGATGTCTGGGATTTGCAGGCAGCAGATTCAAGAGTAAACATAACACATTCTTAAGACATTACTCTCTTTGTTCAAATTATTCTCAACACATATTCAGAATTATGCAAAACAAACAATTTGTGCTTTATTAGCCATGTTTTATCCTTCATTTAGGCAAAATAAGAATGACAATTACTCTGTAACAATCAAATCAGCTGCTTTGAACAAGAGTGAAAAATTACTTCTTTTCCAATAACCGGGTGGATCAAAGTAAGGGAAGCAAGAGCAATATAAATCTAAGCTATCTAAGATCCGGGGAGAATCTAAAATCCAAGGGACGGAGGTTGTGAAATGTTTCAAGTGCCAAGATTACCAAACCAATTGCCCTAACAAGAGAGTGATGACCATGGATGATTGATTAGCAAAAAAGGGAGCTAAAAGAACACAACAAAGAGGAGGAAGTAAGCGATGTTGGAGACAAAGTTACCCTAAGCTAAAAGTGGTGATATAAATCACGTTCTTATACATCTTTTACATGCTATTTAATTTCTTCTTTTATTAATCAAAGATTTAAAGGGAGCATCTTTTCCATCTTATCAGTTTGGCTCATGTCATGGGATGTGACAAAGTTTAACGCTGATTGTCACTGGCCTACCAAAACCCACCTCCTTTATCCAGACTTGGGTTGGTAGCGGGTTAGGAAGGATATGAAGTATATGGATTTGCATGAGGATGAAGCATTGGATCGTAGGGGATGGAAGAGGAAGATTTTTGTGGATGACCACATGGAATAATCAAATTTGGTTCATGTAGCCGACTTCACTTATGGGATTAAGGCTTTGATTGATTGATTGAACATCTTTTCCATCTTATACATCTTTTACACTGGTTGGAGTGGAAGATATAAGCTGTTCACAAACCTTGGCTGATGACTTGAAATCAACTATAATGACTTATCCTATACCTTGCTGCGACGTGTAGATGTAGGCACTAATGCAGAGGTTAATGAGTGAGCTTTGGTCAGTCAACGTGTACATCTAGATACTAATGTGAAGGAAGTGAGCTTTGGTCAGTCAACATGTACATCTAGACACTAATGTGGAGGTTAATAAGTGAGCTTTGGTCAATTTTGTTTGGGTGCCTTCTAATGTTTTGCTGCTTTCTACTATTACCCCTTTGGTGTACATAATTTACTTCTTGGTAATTAGTGGTATAGTTTGATCCTGAGGTCAAGCAAGTGGATACCAGAATACTTTGTAGCCTTTGTAATCTATTGTGTTGGGGTCATTAAAGCACAAGAACAAGTATAAAGGGCTCTCCTTGCAAGATGTCCTACAAGATTTTAGCCTAGAAGGGAAGCTCGATGTAATCACATTGAGTTTACATAGTGCCTTTGTCGTGATCAATGCCGCCAACATGATTTGGCCAATTACCATGGCTTGATCTTTCTTTGTTTTTGTTAATTTTATGATAATTATCTCAAAGCACCCTAATTTTGAATTGAGTGAATCATGATTTGATTAATCAATGGGAGGAAAAAGAATAAGGCAGTGGAGGAAAGATATCTCTTAAGTCCGATTTTCCTTCCAAACCATTCCAATTTTTAATGACCGAAGGAAAGCAATTACCTCCATTTCCCTCATTCCCATTTCACTCATAAGGGATACTACGCCTTTTACTTTCCCTCCAATCCCTTCTATCCAAGCAAGCTGTTAAGACAAAGAGTATCTTGAAACTCTCTTTAAGTTTCTTGGTAGATGGCGATGAGGAAGTCAGGAGTTGGTGATCAAGGAGCTATTCAATATGTTCCAGATTAGAGATTGAATCTTCTCCAAAGGAGGAAAGGAGGATGCAGATGCAGATAAGGGATACAAAGTTCGCTCAGACTTCCAAACAGAAACTTACTTTCAAGCTATATCATGCATTTTCTTTAGGTAGATTTGGTACCTTTTTGTTATTGGGTGCTCTTGTATAGTTGTATTAGCGGTTGGTTATAGTAGTAATTTAACACTAAGTTGCTAAGCTTGGAGCTTATTCTGGTGACATTTCTTGTTTCAAGAGCTAAAATACAACAAGGTGAATAAATGGTTTTTCAAAGGAGCAAGGTGACATTTCTTGATATGATTTTGCTATGTTGGATTCACATAGTCCGGTATTTAAGTTAGAGTCAAATGGATCTAATCTAAACAATTTGCTCAAACGAACCAAACAATAAACCAAACTAGGATCGCTAGATTGGGCAAATAAGCATCTTACATTCTTACCTCCCTTGCAATAATAATAATAAAAATAAATAAATAAATAAATAGAAATGGAGTGCCTATTATCACAGTTTCACACCACCCAACATTCATGTTATCTGACCCAAATCTAACCACTAAACCTGAAAATGAAACCAAGATATATAAACAAAGTGTCAACAATAAACCTTGAATACTTTCAACATGTCAAAACAATCACCATATAATTTTTTTTCTTCACCTTCCAATGAACTAAAATCAAAATTGCAATCCCTATATCACAAAAATTTATAAATTCACAGGGCATTTAACCAGGAAAGATGTTAGAATAGAAAAGGAAAGAAAACTGACTTGAACAAAATGGCCACCCATACGAGTAGAAGGCAGGAGAGCTCTCTCCAAATTAACAACAGACCCGGGTTCGAGCTCGACCAACGATGTCTTCCTAAGCGTCTCAGGTGCTAACCCAACAGTAAATTCCGACAATTCAGCATTGAATTCAGTCACAGTAAGGCATGTCCCATTAACTGCAATGCTATCACCAAGTTTGACATCTTCAAGAACGGTTTTAGCTCCAATTTTAAGGTCAAATCCTCCATTAACGCCGTACCCCAGTTGCTTAACTTTGCCCATTTCTTCAACAATGCCAGTAAACATGCAATTGATTTGATTTTTGTGAGATTGGGGTTTAAGGGTTTGGTGGGGTTTGGGGTTTTTGGTGAAGAGTTTAGGAATTGGGTGTTTGAAATCTGAGTTGAATTTGAGTTGCCCATTTGAGGGGAGATTGTGGAAGTTGCAGATTGAGATCTTTGGTTGGGAGAGTTTGGAAGAGATCAATGAGAGTGGCACTTCAATTGCCATGTTTGATGAATGAATGAAAATAGCACTTGAATAAAAAATGAAAGGGGGATAGAGCGAATCTGGTGATTAATCGATGCTAATAATTGTTCGGAGCTGAAAAAGTGATTTTTTTTGGGCACGGTGTATAGCAGAACCTCCAATAGTGTTAGCAGTTCTACATATCATGAATAATGCAAAAAAAACACTATTTAAGATAAAATCGCTAACATTATTAGCGATTCTTCCTTAAATAGTGCTTTTAATTTACAAATTTGTTATCGTGATAAAGAATTTAGGTTTATCAAGGTGATAAATTTGTATTTTCTCGAAAATATTGGGATTTGTGTTTTTCTGTTTGATAAGGTATAAAGGTAAAGTAAAGTGAGAATTTAGAGTTGGGTTTTACCAGTGAACAATTTCCCTATAAATGGTTTAATTGTAAATTAATTCTCTATTACCGTCGGCTTAAAAACCTATTCCCACCATATTATCCACGTATAATTGGTAGGAACAATTTTGTTTTTTCTAGGTTCAACAAAGAATCACTAATAGTAATAGCGGTGCTATATTTTTAAAACCGCAAACAACGGTAGCGTATCTAAATGTAATCGAGAAGACATCTGGCCTCAGGGCCCGTAGCACGACGAGTTAATTCCTCGCTGTAAGAATGTCACCGTGAAACGTTGCTCTGGTGGTGATCGCTGCTTAGGGTGATGAGACTTGCTGCTCTGTTTTTTTTTTCTTTGTCGTTGTAGTAGTTTAATAGGGTGAATGAAGTGGAAAGAAGATTATAAGTGTGGAATTATTTAATTAAAAGAATTGTTGAAATTGATGGTTGTTTATAAAATAAACCAAGATCATCATTAGTGGTTTTACTTATAAAACCGCAATCACAGTTAACAGCTTTACTACTTAAATTTTTTTACTTGTGATTACAGAATTCTACGTGGACAATATGGAGGGATAAATTTTTAAACCAACGCAAATCAGAAATTAATTAACAATTAAGCAATATCTATGGAAATCGTTCTAATACAAAACGTTGGTTTTATTTACTATCTCCTTCGTTTCTATTTACTTAACCCATAATATTTGGAGAATATTTAGGGATTTGTTAAACATCGCCCACAAATTACTACATAAAGCCCACAAAATTCACTTGGTTTCCCAAAATTGCCCTTGACCTTAAAAAAAAACACTCACACTCTCATCACTCACACTCTCATTGCTCATCTTCTTTCAACCTCTCTAAAAAAAAAAAATTCAAAATAACGGCAATATCGAGGCGGCAAGGCAAGGAAGTGGCGGCGGCGGCGGAGGGAAGGATGTCCCAAGGTGGAAAGGTATATTTTGTTTAAAAAAAAAAGGGGAAAACCGCCGTGAACGCGGTGGGGCGCCCTGGCTGGACGCCCAGCCGGCGGTGGTGGCGCCAGATGCAGACGCCGCCACCAGTTGGCTGGCGCCTGGGCTGGACGCCACCGCCACGGTTGTGGCGTTTAGTCTAAGCGCCGCAGCCGTGGCTGTGGCGTCCAGCCCAAACGCCAGCCAACTGGTGGCGGCGTCTGCATCTGGCGCCACCACCGCCGGCTGGGCGTCCAGCCAGGGCGCCCCCCCCATTTTTTTTTTTTTTTTTTTTTTAATTTTTTTAAAAAATTGTTTTTAAATTTTTTTTTTTTTTTTTTGTAATATAATTTTGAATTGTTTTTATATTTTGTTGTTTATTTTTATAAATTTTTTCAATTTCGTTGTATTTTTTCTACGTTTATATTTTGTTTACTATTATTTGTTTGTTTTTAGTGTATTTGATTTGCGATGATGATTATTTATCGTATAAATTTTTGTATGTTTATATATTTTAAAATTTTGTGTAGGGTCGTCATGGTGGGGGGAAGAATATAGAGCTTCTTAGTAGAAGTTATTCAGTGGAGAGGTCGGGGCATAGGCATGTCAGATCCCGTGGTATTTCGGCCTCAGTTCGTAGAGAACGGATCCACCGTCGGGATGAGGATGACGATGACGATGATGATGCTGAGGAGGGTGACCAGGAGGAGGAGCAGGAGGAGGGCGCAGATGAGGATGAGGATGTGGACGATGGCAGTGGACCGTATGATGATTACGGTCCATTCAGTCAGAGGGTTGATGACATGTACGAGACGCATATGGTGGAGGTGCGTAAGGGTAGGGGTGGTAGGTTTGTTAGTAGATCTGGCACATCATCTGCGTCCACTGTCTCTGGGGCAAGCAGGAAACGGTCGAGGGCGGGTAATGATTCTTGGGTTGTTAGGAGTGAGGTGCCCGGTGGGCCTGTTGACGGGAGTGTGATTCCTAGCTTTCTAGGACACATAGCTGCCCGTATTTGGGAGGACCAGGAGAGGCCTTCAGTTACGGGGTTGTTGAAATGTCATACCCGGGAAAAGACTTGTAGTTTTTTGCGTACATGGGCTGAGGCCTGGCCGGCGGAGAGCGAGATGTTCGAGCGACTGGAGGGCACTGGGGTGAAGCACGTTCCTGCCACCATGCACGATAAGATTGACAATACGCTGATCACGGCTTTCATTGAGCGATGGCAGCCGGATACAAACTCTTTTCACCTTCCGTTCGGTGAGATGACGATCATGTTACATGACGTCGAGGCCATTCTGGGGATTCGTGTTGAGGGTAAACGACTTTGTGCTGTGGCTGATGCGGATCAGGCAGATTCGCTGGCGGAGTTGTTGGCGGTGGACAGGGCTGCACTGTACACCGAGGCGCTAGGTGTTTGGGAACACGGAGGTGTGAAGATCGCATCTGTGTTGCAGCGGTGTTTGTACCCGAGTGCACGTAGGACGCCCGACGCACAGCTGAGTGCTTATGTTTTTCTACGCACGGCAAACAGATCTAGGGGCGCGTCAAAATAATGATTTTCGCCGCAAGGTCCACCTCCCCACCGGATACGTCGGAGAGCGCCATCCAAGTCATCCTGGTACACATGACGATAAACATTTCGGTTAGAGGCAATTTCGCTGTACATCAACTCATGCACCAAACCGTAGTTGTCTTCGCCCATTTGAAAAACATCAGCCACGACCCGGAATCCGCAGTTACCATCTCCGATTACATCATTCCACCCTTCCACGTACGACATGATGATCGCAGGTATCCTTTCCTTGTACGGAAACTAATCAACATCGTTTCTTCCTATTCACCAAATAATTAATTATAGACAGTTAAGAAGACAGGAGTAACACTTTAAAACTATGTGCAATTAAAACAACCAAAACGTACCAGTTCTCAGGGGCATATTCACAGACGATGAAGATTGACTACGACTAGATGACGATGTCCGACCACGAGAACGACCACGACCATGACCACGGATATACTCAAACGCACTCCTGTTCCGCCGCTGTCGACCTCGAGGACGGTCAACTCCTTCGGGTTCCTCATAATCTAAGTTAGACGGGTGGAACATGTCATGAAGCACATGAGTAGCGTCACGAATAATAGAAGGATGGCTGGAGGACACTCGGTCGTACATCGAACGGAACTGCTCCAACTCTTCCTGTTCACGGTCGGCCGTTTGATTGTCTGCATGCTCACCAATAACAAGCGTCCTCCAGAATGAATGGACCTGATCAACATGTAACGACGCCCTTTCTTCTGTAATAACGCGATGAATGGTGCATGCGCAAGGTAATCCATGAGTTACTGAAATAGTACACCCACACCGAGTATACACTTCGTCAGCCAAGTCCCTCACCCTGTTCAGCTCAGTGAGAATCAACCCCAAGCAGTAGTGCGACACACGACCATGGAGAATCTTAAATATAAAATGGCTATACATCGTACCATGTCGTCGTCTGGAGTCCTCTAGAGAGTTCCTGATGTCGTTCTTCTGAGTTTCAATTGACTTGTTCAGTCTAGCGAACAGTGTATCCAAAGCAGCGGTCGATGAATCAATCCAGTCCTTGGTAGCTCTATGAGCGCTCTCAACTCTACATGTTGTAGTGTTCCCAAAATGAAGTACCTGGTTTGTCCAATATTTGACAAACTTTTCCCTATGAGGGACCCATTGATGCATCACATAGTCCACCAGTGCCGGACACCACTGGTACGAATCCCTGAAGTTAGCCAATGCTCGCTCATACGCTTCCTCTGTGGTAGCCTGTAGGATCTTCCGCCACTTACCATTCACCAATCTCTCTGCCATTTCCAAATTCTTGTTGAAAAGGTTGTAGGCTTTCACTTTCACGCAGTTGTTGATGTGCCATGTGCACAATAAGTGGTTCGATTCGGGAAACAGCTCTGCTATGGGGGCAAAGAGACCTCCCTCACAGTCGCTGACGATGGCTGCTGGATGAACATTAGGCCCGATGTAGTTTCTCAGCTTCTCCAAAACCCAATAATAACTTGGAGCCGTCTCATCCCTGATGATTGCATGACCAATCAGAAAGTTCTGGTTCGTTGGAGCCATCCCAACCATCTCAACCAGAGGGAACTTGTACTTGTTTGTCTTGTACGTTGAGTCGATCAAAATCACAAATGGCCAAGACTTGATCATATCAGCACAATCAGGATGCACAAGGAAAAGATGAGTCACCTCCGTTGTATCTTCATCAGAATCAAACCAGAACAGGTAACCACGTGATTGTGCCTGGTGTAGCAGCTGCTGTATAGGGTTCCTTCCCTCTGACCGTTCAAACCTGAGTTGCTGTCTGACGTTGTAGATGTGTCTTCGGTTTGGATGGTCTTCTGGAAATTTCTCTAACACAGATGCTAATATTTTAGCAGGCTTCACTTGAGCATCACTCATTTCTTTCACAACTAGTTTCGCAGCAGGACTTAAGCCGCTCAGTTGTCGATGACCCTCTTCATATACTATCATCTCATGGTTGTGATACCCCCATTTAGAGTAACCTATCACTTCCCAACCGTCACGACTCCGTAGTTGTCGAACCTTTACTCTGAACTCACACCCACAACCTTTCCGCTTTGTGTCAAACCGAGTGGTTGTACGAAAATCTCTTTCTTCTCTTTTGCGATAACGGTCACATCTCAAAATGCGATCCATTCTACCATCCCGTTGAGATTTATGAGTTGCTACTACCAAGCAAAATCCAGCTGCAATTGCAACCTGTTTTGCCCAATCAATCGCCTGTTGAGCTTCTTCGAATGGACCATCATGTCCAAATATCTCACTGTAATCATTTCCGTCTCCACCATATTCCTGCATCAATTATATATTACAATAAATACATTTAACGGATAATACATTTAATTTCTATATTTCCACATAATTAACACAAAAAAAAACATAATTATATATAATCAAACTTAATTTTTATAAAAACCCAATTCGAATTTTCAAACTAAATTTAAAAATATACCATTTCGAATTTTCAAATTTAATTTTAAAAAAACCTATTTCGAATTTTCAAATTTAATTTACAAAAAACCCATTTCGAATTTTTTTAAAAAATCATTTTCGATTTTTTATTTTCACAAAAAAATTAAATAAAAAACAACAACAAAATCAAAAAGGAAAAAATAAAATTTAATTATTAAAGGTGGCGTCTGCCAGGGCTGCCACACCCACTGGACTGGCGCCTGGCAGGGCCGCCTCACCCAGTGGAGTGGCGTCTGCCCAGGACGCCAGTCTGGTGGTCTGGGCGTCTGGGCTGGACGCCACTCTGGTGGTCTGGGCGTCTAGCCTGGACGCCACTCTGGTGGTTCTGGCGTCCGGCTTGGACGTCTAGGCTACGGTTTGGGCGTCCACCCTAGGCGCCGTAGCCACTACGACGGTAAACCGTGAATTTCAGCGGTCACTTACCTCGTTTTCCGTCGACGACGACGTACCTCCGGCGTCCCCCGCATCTCCGGCCTGCCATCCGGTCTCCCCCGACGAGCCAATACGGCTCCACATTTTTTACACCGAGATTATCTCAATTTTAGCAAAAGGGCATAATGGTCAAATCATAACATATTTGTGGGCTTTATATGGTAATTTGTGGGCGATGTTTAGCGTTTCACAATATTTAAGGATAGGAGAGGTAAATTGCATTTGGTGCACATGATTTACATTATTATCCTTAAAAGTAGTCCCTACATGCACTTACGACGGTATTTTAGCGAATTTGTTTAGCGAAAGTTTACCAAATATAATATGGGTCGGGTAATATGACATTTTCATTTTAGAAATGTTAGTCGAGTAAATAAAAATGGAGAAGGTATATTTCACAAATTTTTATATGTGGCTGGCCACACAATGTGGTCGGGGTTACTCGGTCAGGGATTACTCGAGTTACTCAGTTAGGAGTTACTTGAGGGGTTCGGTCAGGGGTTACTCGATGCGTTCGATCAGGGGTTACTTGATGGGCTCGATCAGGAGTAACTCGGCCAAGGATTACTTGAGGGGTTACTCGGTCAGGAGTAACTCGAGTAACCCCTTACCTAGTAACTCTGGCCACACGAATCTCCAAGTATTTTTTACGTTTTTACTCCATTTTTATGACTTTCAATCTTCCATAAAATAAACGGTTATTTCATGAAATGCCACTAAGCAATTGCAAAATTCACCAAATGTCATTCGACTTTTCAAAATTCACCAAATGCCACCGAGTTTTAACAAAATTCACCGAGTGCCATTAATGACTGACAACTGTTAGTTCACCGTTAGTGGACCCCACCATTTGCCACGTATCACTTTTTTATTGGTCCGTTTTTAAAAAAAAAAATTAAAAAACAAAAAAAAACCAAAAAAAAAAAAAATAAAAAAAAAAAACAGAAACCATTGAACCACCCCAGCCACCACCCCGAAACCCTGCCCCTTCCCTTATATTGCCGGAAGATGGCCGGCCACCTTCGTAACCAACAAAAATCGGCCGGCCGGCCCTTTAGCACCTCACCTGATCCACCACCGACCCCCAAAACCACCCACATAACCAGCCTTGACCCTAAAAACCGCCGCCGAGATCTCCTCCACCAATCTCGCACCATTCGCATCAATGGCCACAAACTCCTCCACCAATCTCGCACCAATCACGAAGTTGTTGGGGAAGGGGATGGGTTTTGAGGTGCCGGAAATCGGAGAGGGAAAAGAAGGAAGGTGGGGTTTTGGGGTGCCGGAAATCGGAGACGGAAAAGAAGGGGGTGGGGTTTCGGGGTGGTGGAGGAAGAGGGGTGGGGTTTTGCGGGTTAGGGGGTCGCGACGGGGTAGGGGAGAGGAAGGGGAGGGGTCGCCAGAGGCCAGCGCGCCTTCCGGTGCTAGCCCCGGCGGCAGGGGTTGTGGTGGCTAGGGTTTTGGGGTGGGCAGTCAGGGAGGAGGTGGTGGCTGCCACCTCTTAATTTCTTTTTTTTTTTTTAATTTTTTTGTAATTTATAATTTTTTTTTTTACTATTTTTAAAAGTTTTTAATTTTTATTTTTGTTATTTTTTTAATTAATATTTTTTTTAAAAAACAGACCAATCAGAAGGTGACACGTGGCAAGTGGTGGGGACATCTAACGGTCAACTAACGGACATTGACGGTCAACTAACGAAAATAAATTAATTCTAAAAAAAAAAAAAGGCATTTGGTGAATTTTGAAAAGTCGGATGGCATTTGGTGAATTTTGCAATTACTCAGTGACATTTCAGGAAAAAACCGTAAAATAAATTAATTCTAAAAAAAAAAAAAAAAAAAAAAGGCTGTTGTAAATTGTAATGGAAGAGGTGGGTGTTGTTCTGCTGCTGTGCTCACTTATTGTCACCGTTCACCGAGCCAAGCTATTCTTCGGTGACATACTACGCCGCTTCTCTATATCAACGGTAGCTTTCTATCTCTCTCTTCTCCATTATACTCTTTTGTATTTCTTGAAAAAATTAGCAACTTTAGGGATTTTTTTTGTTCATCTTGACTGAGTTTAAAAATTACTGTTACATTTTTTGAATTTTTTCTCCCTTTTTTTCTTGCAATTGGGTTTTTGAAATTGTTATAGATTTAATTTTTTGTGTAATTTCTTAAATTTGACATGGGTTTTGTTTGTAAAGTAAAGTTATATGGTTTTTTTCTTTTCTATTCTTGTTGTTTCCTTGAATTTCTATATAGTACGGAGTATATGATATTATGATGAGTTATTGATGATGGGTTTTAGCTATTAGTAAGAATTATGTAATGAGTGAATGTAACTAATATGTAATATATTGCTACGAATTTCCTTGAATTGGAGAATAAATATAGTGGCTTTTCTTATCTTATTACTAGATTCCAGACCACATTTGAGCATTGTTGTTTGTCTGGATTTGGTGTTTACAAGGCGATTCGTTGGTGTAAATGAAGATGATTATCTCAGCCTTTTCTTTGTTTGCTCATGATTTTTGTTTGAGGCAGACTGTAGACTTTGCATTATCAGTCACTTGTAGTTTTTTTTTTTAACCTTTCATTGCTCATTTTTGTTTGAGGCAGAACTTTAGACTTTGCATTGTTGTTGCTTGAAGATCTGGTTTGGTGCAAAAATTTAGATACTACGTATTTCACTTTATGAATTTGGTACTTCACATAGCACTGGCACTCCTTAAAGCTACAGCTGTTTTTGGATCCGTACTATGAAAAGTGAGTTTAATGGCCAATAATCTCGGGTTTGGCAATTTTTATAGAGTTTTTTTTTTTTTGTTGTGTTTTGGTTTCCCAGAGATCATTGGTGAGTTGAGACAATAGTCTTTGTAATTTGATGGTGTTTTTTTTTTTTTTTTTTGAAATTGAAAGACGGAGAATCTATTCAATTATTGGACTTACTCACCCAAGAAGCACGATATTATTTACTTGTGAGAGACAAAGGCTCATACTTGAAGATAGATATTTGTCCATAACACAAGCTATATATGATGATGCTCTTGATTGTAAATACATGCAAGTAATTATACTACCTCCAATCCTTTAAGTTGTTAGGGGTTACTGTAACAACAGGAACCAAGGAGTGTTGTAGCAACTGGGGCATGTTTCAGAAAAAAATGGAAGTAAGGGTATTAGGAAAGAGACTGCTGTAAGTGGAGTTTGTGTAAGAATAGGAAAGATACTGTTGTAAGGGTATGTAGAAAAAAAGCATTACCGTGAACGGGCTTCCTGAAGCAAGTTATTATATGACCTTTGAAGAGGGGAGCCCTGGGCTAACACATTGATTCTCCAATCTTTGTTTGTTTTGGTGAGTTTTTCTTATTACACATTTATCATGTAATACAGTGGCATGAATGTCAAATGCCTTTAACTACTGATTTGCAATGTTTTAGGTGTGCTGTTTAGGTAGAAATGGATGTTTCCAGCAGATTTTGGATGGGAGATTGCCTGACTGTTGCTTCTTTACTTGTCCAGAAGTTAAATTGACAATGGCTGCACATTTTCAATCATTGGAATGGTATTTACTTATCCTGTTCTTGCTACTGTTTTTTTTTTTTTTCTTAAATCATCATATATCATTATGTGATGCCTCTGTACCTAATCAATCATTTATTATAGTTAATTGTTAATTCGGGTGCTAAGGTCCACTCTCAATCTATAGGGAAACCCTATGATAGGTTTACACCAGTCAGGTAGCCACCATCTTACAAGCCAAAATATAGATGGCATGGTTTATAATGCATGCCATTATTGCCACACTGTCTAATACAATTGATAATTTTCTGTTAGGGAGAGGATGGGATTGTACTATCCGTGTTTTTATTCTAACCTTTTGGAATATACAGTTTTTTTTTTTATAGCTCATAGCGAGATTTACCCCAATTCATTCTATCTTTTTCTTATAACATCTTCCTTATAGTAGTTTATAGCAAGAGTTTCCCATATTCATTTTAACATTTACCCGAGTATTGCGTCGACGTGTCATCATTTCGGCATGACATGTTCTGACACTGAGTGAACAGGAGATTTACTTTTCCTTTCGTGGTGAACAGAATGACAAACATAATACAATCAGAAATTCAAAATTTAATTCTTGTCAAGTGTCGAACTGATAAAATGGGAGAATCTATACCAAATTACAATTTAGACTACAGACAGAAACCCTATCTGAGAAATTCTCCAATGATAACTGTCTGAAATGTTTGCCTTCTAGGTGGAGCATTTTTAATTTTTATCTTATTCTCTACCCTCTTCATTATTCACTTCCTTTTTAATTTGAGCATGGAAAGCAGTTTATAACTCCACTTTAGGACTCGAAAGTAAGTGATCCAATGAAGCTTTTGTGTCTAAATAATAACAACATAATATACCGATATTCATCTAATTCATTTACTTTAGTGATTATTTATTTATCTTTTTTTTTTGGGTGGGGAATGTTTAAGGCATGTGTATCTTGGAAAATCTTTAAAAAAGGAAATGAGATTATTTCCTCATGAAGGTATGATTTTTTTCCTAATCTGATTATTTTTTATAATTTTATTATGTGGACACAATTTCATTAAAACATCTCTTATAATGTCTATTGATTAGCCTATAAATTTTCATCTCACTCTAGCATAGTTCTTGACACAAATTAGCTTGTAAACTTTCATCCTTCTCTGGCATAATTATCGACACAAATTAGCCTATAAACTTTCATCTCTGTTAAGCATACTTATCATTGAAGAATAACCTTTTTAACATTCATCTCTCTCGGGCATACTTGACGCAGTTTTTGGTCGTGATAGTACTGACAAAGACTGTCACTTGGTATATCTTTATCATGATATAATTCCCTTACTCTTGTTGATTTTTTTTTTTTTCTTAACATATTTGATTGTGGATTCTTGTATGAATTGTTATTTATGTATGTGTTGGTGCATTTTTTTTTTTTTTTTTATTTACACCTAATAAAACGTAAAATAATGATGCTCAGAAAGTCATCAATTTTTTTCTTCTTCTTCTGATAGTACCTGTTGTTAGTCTATAATCTTTCTTTCACTAGTTAAAATGTTCAAAATTATCTTTTTTCTGTGTTATAGTTTTGAATTGGGGTTTGGTCTGATTTAAACATTTTGTTACATGAACACAAAGGTTGTTAATCTGACTAATATTGTCCTTTTTTAAAGCTTTCCTCTTTTTTCTTTGTGACTTGGATTCTGATTATTTAATTTGCTGAATCTATTTTTATTTCTCTGGTTATGATTATGAGATACGAACATTTAAGTTATTTTGGACTCAGATCTTATACTAAAGAAATATTTTTTGTAATAATCTACCTTGTTATGCTTCTTATTTGCAAATACTGTAGGCACATGTAACGTGTATCACAGATATGCATGTTCGGATTTCTAAGTTAGATTTTGCTTCTTTTTACATCTGGATTCTATAATTTTGTGAACAATAGGATATGTTTTGGGTTTTCATGTGTCATGTTAGTCTCTTAAGTAATTAAGCAATCACTGTTGACCGTCAACAGATGCTCTTCTTTTACAATTTAAACTTCCAGGCTGAGCTCTTCAAATAGGGTTAAAATATGATATTAGCTCTAATTAAGTTTTCCTCGAGATCTAGATTGCTGTTAAGGAGAATTTCTGTCCCATTTCTGTTGGGTGCAGGACTGTGGAGCCAGGGGTTCAGGAGTAGCCGAGTAGGAAGATCAAGGGAATATTTGTGGTCAAAAGAACACTCATGGGTGTATTTTGTAGGGACATGAGTGGCACTGTCATGCATCAAGGCCGAAAGAAAAGGAGAGTAGTTTGGAGCTTGACACCTCTGTGTCAATTGGTGCCATGCATCTCTATGCTACTTGTACACCGAGTAGGCGAGTACCATGTGGGCTGTTCTTAGGGGCCATGCAGGTTGCGTCTTTGATCTCACTTCCTTGTCAGTCAGGGTTTCTCCCATTAAGTGTGCTAATCTAGTAGTCGTTACCTCTTACCTGATTAAAGTCCGGTAGATCTAAGCTTTATAGGATGTTATTTCCGATCTAGTTTAAGTGAGAGAAGAGGAGAAATCCATAGACCATAGATAATCACTCTTGAGAGATAATAAAAGTTCTGTGAGCTTTGTAATCACCAGGTACTCATCATCAAAGTCCTAGTGTAACATTGTTGTAATTTTCTCCTGGTTCTTGGTTTCCATCTAAATCTGTTGGCTTTTTTTGTTATTTCTGTGTTATTTTGCTTGTTGGTTTGCATAATCAGTGTAGCACTGACATCCTGGTAACCTTCCTCTTTAGATTGACAGAAGTCATATTAAAGTTCTCTAGTCCTAAAGGTTCTGCATCATTATTGAATATGAATTTCTTGGAATGAATTCAATAGGTTCCTAAAGATTGTCCTTTCCCTTATTTAATTACTTGGAAACTATTATTTAACAGCATACTCCGAGTATTTCTTTGTGATCAAACTATTTCCTTTTCTATGATTCACCTTCTCATGTAGAGTTTTTACAAAAATTCAATTTGTAGCATTGATTCATCTTTTTGATTTACTTATTCATTATCCTGTGATTATTGAAACAGTATTATGATTATAGATTGCTAACTAATATAGAACACTGACTAATTTTTTGTTGCCTAAATTAATGAATTCAGTGAGCAAGAACATGGAAGGCGTGAGTTATCAATCAGGTTTAGGGGAACAGAATATGTCTGAGGTGACTGTGGATAGGATAAGTAGTCTTCCGTGGAATGTCCTAGACATTATTCTTGGGAAATTGTCACTAAAGGATGCTATCAGAACAAGTGTTTTGGCTACGGAATGGCGATATAAATGGCTTTCCTTATCCAAATTTTTCCTTGATTCTCGTTCTATTGCTGGTATGTTTCGTTTTAAAATTCTTCAATGGGTTGTTGTTTCGAATATCATCAACAGATATTTGCTTCACCATCACTTTCACCATCGCCTTCACCACGATGGTGAAATCAGGACATTTGTCTTGAGAACATACTGTAGTGCTCATTATCCTGAGTTATATCAGTGGATACAATATCTTTCCAAACTAGATGTCGAGATTATGTCACTTGAAGAGGTTGGCTATCTATTCTTTGTGGTGCCTTCGTATCTTTTTTTGTTCAAGCAGCTACAGAGTTTGAATCTCGAAATTTGTGCCATAAAGATTCCATCTTCTTTTAGAAGATTTAGCTTTCTTCGTGAACTCTCTCTCAGAAACGTTTCAATTAGTGATGATGATCTTCACCACTTGATTCTTGCCTGCCCTCTCCTCGAGAAATTAGCTTTGTTTCGTATAAATGAGTTAAAGCATTTGAACATCAATTCTCCAAGACTGTTTGAGTTACAAATAGACTTGGGAATGGAGGACGTTGTTATTGGCAATCCAACACGTTTGGTTTCAGTTCATATAATTGAGTATTCTGTGCCTCAAATTATTAATTACAACTGGCGGAGTGTTATTCGTTGCTTTTCTAGTATGGTTGTCCTGCGAAAATTGGATTTATGTGGATCTTTTATCGAGGTAATTTTATGTTGATGTATTGAATTTCGTTCACTTACTGAGTTTTGTTGATGTATAAAAGGTGTTCACTTTTTATAGTATGTGTAGTGTAGGTGACTAGTTGTCTTTTCTCTCTCTACTCTAACAGATCATTTCTTAGCTCTTGGCTGCTGATTATGCATTTAAATTTTTTTTTTCTTAGATCTTGGCTGCTGATTGTGCATTTGAAAATTTCCCGTGGAGTAACAATACTCTATCGCGTCTATGCCTTACCTGTCTAAACTGTAAGAATCTTGGAACGTTCAGGGTTTGTCTTCCTCTGCTAAGATCCTGCCCAAACATTAAAAAGTTAAAATTTTTAGTAAGTCACTTTCCTTTTCAATTTCCATCCTATTACTAGTATCTTTGGAGGTATATCTGGTGTAACTTTTCATCTTCAATGCTCCATTTTGGTCCAGCCGAAGGTCCGAGGCTGATCAAAAAATTCTTAAAGGAATATAAAGGACGAGTCTCCTTTCCTGCACTTGATTCTATTGCAGTGATGTGTCCTTTTTCTACTGGCATGGGATGTAATGTGAACTTCATTGAATATCTTTGCGCTCACTCCCCAAACCTCAGGTCTTTACGCATTGTAGGATGGCCTGTGATGAAAAAGGCCTAGGTTTCCAAAATGCTCAAGCGGTTCAAGAAGGTTTGTCCTTGTGCTTTAATTAAATTTACTAGTGGTTATAATAGAGTGTAAGGGCAATTCTCCTTTCATGTGCCCTATTCTATTGCAGTGACATTTCCTTCTGACTCTGGTGTATTGTACTATTGTGAACTTCATTTTGCACTCACTCCCCATCCTTAAGCATTAAAGGAGTCTTTCTGGAAGTCTGTTCTTGCGCTTTAGTTCTATGCACCTGTGATAGGGATTTGACCATTCTGGGATCTCCATCGTATCAGTATCGGAAAGGATACTAGCTCATGTTTATAAGCTGTTTCTTTTGCTGCTGCTTGGTAGTAAGAAAAAGTCTGATTTTCAATAACTTGCATCTGGGTGAACTTTTATTAGTTATTCCTTTTTGTATTTTTTAGTAAAAACAAGACTGAATTAAATGTTTTAAATTTCAGTAATCTAAGTATTTGTGATTTCTTCTTGTATATCCATTTCTTTTTCAAGTTTATGGTTGTTGTCAAGGGGCTGAGTTCTTGAGTGGAGAGTATTCCTAACTCTTTTTTGTTCTACTCAATAGCTTTTTCATAGTCTCGTAGTTTATATTAATGAAAATTATGAAAAATTGATAGTTTAATCTAAGCCATTTAGATAAATCATATGTATTTTTTTATTTTTTTTACAAAACTCTCAAATATGGTCAAAATTCTCTAATTTGTCTGACTGCATCACGATTCACAGGTGACTTAATTTTTCCTTTAGGAGTATCTTTTCTTCTTCGAAAGACACCTCTTCTAGAGAGGATGTCTTTTTTTTTTTTTTTGAAATTGCTGTGAAATTGTTTCATTAGCGAAAAATCATGCTGATCGCAAAAAAAATTAATTTGTTGAATACAGTCAAATGGATCAGATAATCTTTACAGCTACAACAAATTGTTAAATTGTCTTTCCCAAACGACCTTATATGCGATGTAAAGTATAGATGTTTTGCTTGATAAAATAATGTAGAACTTCTCACAAATATGTTTTTCCATATACGGTGTATATTTCCATACTCTTACATAAATCAATGGTATCTTGTGAGAGTTGTGAGACTTTTGTTTTTTATTTGCATCACTTTCCTTTTATATAATAATTTTTCTCTATATCTCTTTTATCACATGAGCCCTCTCTCTCTCTCTCTCTCTCTCTCTCTCTCTCTCTCTCTCTCTCTCTCTCTCTCTCTCTCTCTCTCTCTCTACCTCTCTCTATTCTAAAAATTGTTTAGGAGTATGTGAAAACTAAAGTGATGCAATTAAAAAAACGGAGGAAGTAACAAATAACAAAACGGGACATTAGGCTGTTGCCATGGAAAGGTAGGTGCTTTTCTGCTGTTGTGCTTATGTTCACCTTCACTTATTGTCACTGCTCACAGAGGCAAGCTATTCTCCGGTTACATACTACGCCGGTTATCAGTTTAAATGGTAGCATTTCTGTGTTTGTTCTTCATTACAATCTTTTATATACTTGATAAAATTAGTAACTTTAGGTTATTTCTGTTTATCTCCACTGAAATTAGAAATCACTGTTATTATTCTATGATTGTATTCCCTTTTATTGCAATTGGGTTTTCAAATTATTATAGATTTAATTTTTTGTATTATTACTTGACTTTGACATGGGTTTTGTTTGTAGATTAGAGTAATATTTTTTTTTTCTCTCTTTCCTTTTCTTGTTGTTTCTTTGAATCTCTCTCTCTCTATATATATATGATGAGTTATTGTTTCAGCTATTAATAAGAATTGTGTAATGAGTGTGATTAGAATGTAGTTATTGCTACTAATTTCCTTGAATTGGAGAATAATTGTAGTGGTTTTTCTTATCTTACTAGATTCTAGACCACATTTAAGCATTATTGTTTGCTTGGATTTTGTTTTTACGAGGCGATTCTTTTGTGTAAATGAAGAACGATTGTATAAGCCTTTTCTTTGTTTGCTCATGATTATTGTTTGAGGCAGAACTTAGGCTTTGCATTATTGTACTTGCGAATAGATATCATAACATAAGCTATATATGATGATGGTCTTGATTGCGAATACTAGAATACATGCTAGTATTTTTCTTATAATGTGTACTACCTCCAATCTTAAAGTTTTAGGGGTATCTGTAACAACAGAAACCAAGCAATGTAGGAGAGATAGTGTAACAAGTGGGGCATGTTTCAGAAAAATGGAAGAGAGAGTGGTAGGAAAGAAACTGTCGTAAGTGGATTTTGTGTAAGAAAAAATAGGAAAGATATTGTTGCAATTGGGCTACATAGAAAAATCAAAAAAAAAAAAAAAAGCGTTGTCGTGAATGGGCAAGAGAGGTTTAATTAAACAGTAAAGACCGGATTGCAATGGAAAGTTAAACCAACTTAATAGAACAATCGTAGTGGTAATCAATGACCTTTTAAGAAGGGAGCCCTAGCTTACAACTCATATTTTTCCAATGTTTATCATGTCTTTTGTTTGAAATTTGAATCAGTGTTTGATATATACTACAGAAAACTGATACTTAAGTGGCTCTTATCTAATCAAGGGACTGAAGCGGCTATAGGCTCTATTAAATATCTTTTAATTCGACTTTGTTCTCTTTAATTTCCTTTTGTTGCTAATTGTCAATTGTGTTGTCCTAAGGATCCATATGTTTGCTGTTAATTTTTGTACTAAATAATGCTGTAGCTGATTATTGAATTTTAAAGTTTAAAGAATAATTTACTGGGATAAATTTGGCATTTCAAAGGCACCATGAGTTTTTTCTATCTTCTTTTAAGCTTCCAAAAATTGGAAGCATTCTTTGTGCTGTAAGTTTTTCTTATTACACATTTATTATGTAATAATATTGGCTTGACTGTCCAATGCCTCTAACTATTGATGTGCAATGTTTTAGGTTTGCTGTTTAGGTAGAAATGGATATTTCCAGGAGATTTTGGACAAAAGATTGCTTGACTGATGCTTCTTTGCTCGTTCAGAAGTTAAATTGACAATAACTGCACATTTCCAATCACTGGAATGGTATTTACTTACCCTGTTCTTGCTGCTTTTTTGTTGTTTTTTTTATGATGATTCGCGGTCCACTCTTAATCTACTAGTAACCCTGTGATAGATTTACACCATTCAGGTAGCCAACATGGCATTTTTCCTATCAACTAAAATAAAATATTAATAAAAACTTGATATTTCAGTTATATACACTTTAATAATAAATCCAACAACTTATTAACATTTTGTTTTATATAATAGTAAAAAAAAGATGGTCAAAGTTAAAGTCAAATGTGTTAATTATTTAGAAACCAAAGGAGCAAATATCTTACGTTGTGTTGTAGTAAAAATGAAAAATAAAAAAGTTGATATTATGAAAGTATATTTCTAGGCGAATCTAACAAAATCGCACATGACTAGTAAATTTAAGGGGAGTCCTGATTAGGATACTAATTGGTGTTGTGGAATAGTGGACCGCATGCCTGGGAATTTAGTGAATTAAGTCAGCACATGACAAAATTAAGAATGATTGTATGAGTAAAAAAAAATGTAAAAAAGTTGATATTATGAAACTTTATAAAATACCTATTTAAACATATTATGTTAAATGCTAATGTTTAAATTTATATTTTAAATATGTTATTAATAAACTATGGTCAAAGTTAATATATGACTAGTGAAGAAAAGTCCAACGTGACATAGTTATGGGACGGAGGGAGTACTTTTTACTCTCTTTATTCATCATTTCCCTCCCAATATGAGCATGAAGTACAGTCTATGGCTCCAGTTTAGGACTCAAAAGTGAGTGGTCCAATAAAGCATTTGTGTCAAATACAAACAAAATTATATACCGTTTTCATCTAATTATTTTACTTTGGTGATTATATTATTGGGCAGAATGCTTAATGGCATGTGTTATCCTAGAAAATCTTTTGAAAAGGAAATGGGATTATATTTCCCTTCTTATAAAGATGCTACTCTGATTATTTCCCAAATCTGGTTATTTTATTATAATATTATGTGGTCACAGTCTCATGAAAACCTCTCTTGTAATCTCTAGTGATTAGTCTACAAATTTTCATCTCTCTCTCTCTAGCACACTTTTTGACACAAATTAGCCTGTAAGCTTTCATACTTCTCTGGCATAACTATTAAATTAGCCTATAATTTTTCATCTCTCTTTAGCATACTTCTAAATGAAGATTAACCTGTAAACATTCATCCCTCTCGGGCATAGGCATACTTGACGCTGGTGGTGATAGTATTAACAAAGACTGTAACTTGGTATCTCTTTCATGATATAATTCTCTTTCTCTTGTTGAATTTACATATTTACTGTGGACTCTTGTATGATTACTTATTTATGTATGTGTTGATGCATTTTATTTTCTACCACCTAATAAGACGTATAAATGATGCTCAAGAAGTCATCGATTTTTATTTATTTATTTTATTTTATTTTATTTTATATATATTGCCTGTTTTTAACTAGTTAAAATATTTTCCTTTATTTTTGTTGTTTTTTGGTGGTGTTGTTATTGTTGTTGTTGGTGGTGGTAGTGTGCGTGTTATAGTTTTGAATTGGGATTTGGCCTGAATTTAACAGTTTGTTACATCAACACAAAGGTTGGTATCTGACTAATATTGTCCTATTTTCAAAGCTTTCTCCTTTTTTGAGTGTTTCCCTGTGACTTGAATTCTGATTATTTAATTTGCTGAATCTTTTTTTTATTTCTCTGGTTATGATTATGAGATATGAACACTTGAAGTTATTTTGACCTCAGATCTTATTCTAAAGAAAGGTTCTTAGTAATAATCTACCGCATTATGCTGTTTATTTGCAAATATGTAGGCAAATGTAATGTGTATTACAGATATGCATGTTCTGATTTCTAAGTTAGATTTTGCATCTTTTTTACATCTAGATTCTATAATTTTGTGAAAGATAGGATAAGTGTTGGGTTTTCTTGCACCATGTTAATCTCTTTATAGACGATCACTGTTGACTGTCAACAGATGCTCTTGTTATACAATCTAAAATTCCAGTATGAGCTCTTCAAATAGGGTTAAACATGATATTAGCTTTAATAAGTATTAAAAATACTCCACAAGATCGAGATTGCTGTTAAGAAGAATTTATGTGCCATTTCTGTTGGCCGCGGAAAAATGGAGCCAGTGGTTTAGGATCTAGGAAGGTCAAAGGGAATGTTTGTGGCCAAAAGAAGGCTCATGGGTGTATTTTGTGGGGAACATGAGTCGCATGGCACTGTCATGCGTCAAGGCCAGAAAGCAAAGAAAAGTATGGAGCTTGACACCTCAGTGCTAAATGGTGGCATGTATCCCCATGCTGCTTGTGCGCCGAGTCCCATGTGGGCTGCTCTGAGGGGCCCTGCAGGTTGCGTCTTTATGATCTCACTTCCTTGTCAGCTAGGGTTAGCAGTCATTACCTGATTAAAGTCCTGTAGACCTAGGCTTTATAGGATGTTATTTCTGATTCTAGTTTAAGTGAGAGAAGAGAAGAAAGTCATAGACCATTGATAATCACTCTTGAGAAATTGAAAAGTTCTGTGAGCTATGTAATCACCATCTACTCATCATCAATGTCCTAGTGCAACATTGTAGTGATTTTCTCCTGGTTCTTGGTTTCCATGTAAATATGTTGGCTTTTGTGTTTATTACTATGTTATAATTACTTGTTGGTTTGCATAATCTGTGTAGCTCTGTCATCCTGGTAACTTGCCTCTTTAAATTGACAGAAGTCATATTAGAGTAATCTGGTCCCAAAGGTTCTGCATCATTACTGAACGTAAATAAATCTCGGAATGAATTTAATAGGCTCCTAAAAATTGTCCTTTTACTTTCTTTATCTAAATAGGAACTATTGCTTAACATCATAATCGCCTTTGTGATCAGACTATTTCCTTTTCTATGCTTCACCTTCTCATTTAGAGTCTTTACAAAAAATCAATTTGTAGTATTGAATCATCTTTTCAGTTTAGTAATTCATTTTCCTGTGATTATAAAAAGAGAGTTTTGATTATATATTGCTGACTAATATAGAAGATTGACTAATTTTTGTTGCCTGAATTAATGTATACAGTGAGCAAGAACATGGAAGACGCGAGTTATCTATTGGGTTTAGGGGAAGAGAATATGTCTGAGGTGAATGTGGATAGGATAAGTAGTCTTCCGTGGGAAGTCCTAGACATTATTCTAGGGAAGTTGTCACTAAAGGATGCTGTCAGAACATGTGTTACAAATGGCTTTCCTTATCCAAATTTGTCCTTGATGCTGATTATCTTCCTACTGTGTTTAGTATTATATATCTTCGATGGGATAAGGTTGCAAATATTGTCAACAGATATTTGCTTAACCACGATGGTGCAATCAAGACATTTGTCTTGAAAACACATTGTAGTGCACATTATCCTGATTTATATCAGTGGATACTAAATCTTTCTAGACAAGATGTCGAGATAATGTCACTTGAAGAGCTTGACTATAATATGTTTGTGGTACCTTCATATCTTTTTTTGTTCAAGAAGCTTCAGAGTTTGAACCTGCAAATGTGTGCCTTAAAGATTCCATCTTCTTTTAGAAGATTTAGCTTTCTTCATGAACTCTCTCTCAGAACCGTTTCAATTAGTGATGATGATCTTCACCACTTAATTCTTGCTTGCCCTCTCCTGGAGAAATTGGTGGTGTTGGAAATAAGTGAGTTAATGCATTTGAAAATTTATTCTCCAAGACTGTTTGAGTTACAAATAGATATAGGAATGGAGGACATTTTTATTGGAGATCCTGCACATTTGAATTCTGTTTGTATATTGGATAATCCTATACGTCGAGTTATGAATTACAACTGGCGGAGTGTTATTCATTGCTTTTCTAGACTGGTTGTCCTGCAAAATTTGGTTTTATGTGGAGCTTTTATCGAGGTATTTCTATGTTCGTTCTCTTATTGAATTATTTTGAAGTATAAAAGGTGTTCACTTTTTATAGTATGTGTTGGTTCTTAAGTCTACTTTAACGGGTCCTTTATTAGCTCTTGGCTGCTGATTATGATTTTTTTTTTTCCCTGCTTAGATCTTGGCTGCTGATAGTGCATTTGAAAATTTCCCGTGGAGGAACAATACTCTATCGTTTTTGTCCCTTTCTGATGTAAACTGTGAGAATATTGGAGCGTTCAGGGTTTGTCTTTCTCTGCTAAGATCCTGTCCAAACATCAAAAAGTTCCAATTTGTCGTAAGTCACTTTCCTCTTCAATTCCATCCTATTACAGTACTAGTTTCTTTTATTAGTATATCTGATGTAATTTTTCATCTTCTATGCTCCAGATTGATGCAGCCAAAGGTCTAAGGCTAATCACGCAATTCTTAAAGGAAAATAAAGGACTAGTCTCCTTTCCTGCACTCGATTCTATTGCAGTGACATGTCCGTATGAAACTGGCATGGGATGTACCGTGAACTTCATTGAATTTCTTTGCGCTCACTCCCCAAACCTCAGGTCTTTAAGCATTGCCGGATGGCCTGATATGAAAAAGACCCAGGTTTCCAGGATGCTCAAGCGGTTTGAGAATGTTTGTCCTCGTGCTGAAGTAATGTATACTTGTGGTCATCATATAATGTAAAGGGTGATTCTCCTTTCATGTGCCTAATTCAATTGCAGTGAGATTCCCTTCTGAGTCTGGTGTGGGATGTACTGTGAACTTCGTTGTGCGCTCACTCCCCAACCTCAGGTCTTTAACCATTGAATGAGCCTTTCAGGAATGTCTGTTCTCGTGCTTTAGATCTCCATCGCATCAGTATCAGAAAGGAAATCAGCTCATGTTTATGAGCTGTTGCTTTTGCTGCTATTTGGTAAACTCTTTTTTTCCAATAATTTCAGTGTTTGGTGAACTTCATTTAGTTCTCATTACTTTCAGTTATCTCTTTTTGGAAAAAAAAATTCAGTAAAAACAAGACTTAAGAAAGTGTGTTTATTTTTTGTAATTTCATTATTTCTTGATTTCTATAGCCATTTGTTTTCAATTTTAGTTATTTCAGTATATCTTGATTTCTATAGCCATTTCTTTCAATTTTAGGGCTGTTGGCAAGCGTCCGAGTTCTTGGGTGGAGAGTATTCCTAATTCTTTTTTTGTTCTATGAGCTTTTTCCATGGTCTCTTCGTTTATATAAAGTTAATTTATGAATAGTTGATAATTTTAACAAAGCACGTTGAAATAAATCGAGCAAGGATTTACGTAATACGGAGTAATGTATTTTCTTTTATAGAAATCATAAAATATGGTTAAAGTTTCTTAGTCCGTCTCCTATGAGATCGTCATACGGGTGTGTGAGTTAAGTGAATGCGGATGTCATTTAAGTTTCCCAGTTGTTGCAGCTTGGCTTCCCTCAGTTCATTCATTGCAGAATGCAACTCAAAATTCCCCTAAATTTCACCTAGCAATGTAGAGTATTCTTTGCTTTCTATTTATTGAGAAAATGAAATTATTTTACAGATTTTTATTTGGTCCAGCATAAGATCGCTTTTATAACAATGTTTGGACTTGACCAATTTTTAGGTAGAGTTTCGTATATGATATTTGCATTTAAGGAAGTGTTGCGATTAGAAAAATGGCCATTGATAAGCTTTTCTTGAACATGTAATGAAATTTAATCTTTAGCTGTAGGACTGTGAATTTTGATGAGCCATCCTCTGCGTCCCTTTTTTGTCTTGTGATGGCAATGCTCTGGAGCGTCGTGGCTTCATCTTTGCTCTATCAACTACTATCATCCAGCCATTGATAATCTACAATGTATCAGAAAAAAGTGAGGCTATAATTTTGAAGCTCCAAACATTAAAAAGACGAATATATAATTTTAACACATCAATGATGATTCCCTTAAGCGTACTTTGCCATTCATTTCTTGGAGCGCTGTTGTAGCAGCAACTTCAGTGGTATACTCAACAAATGCATACCCTTTTGACCTCTTCGAGATCTTATCCATGATTACCTTAACTGCACAGAATGTTTGCAGGCATTTAGCAGTCAGCTCAGCAGCTCAACATAGAAATTATAGATAAATAAAAGAAATTTTAAGTTGTCCAATCATATAAAAGACCAACCTACCTTCTATGAGTTCACCAAAGGGTTCAAAGGCCGCACGTAGTGTCTTTTCAGATGTGTAGAAAGACAAACCTGCAAGGGAAAAATCAAAACCTTATTTGATAGATATATGACAAGCGCTTTGAGCTAGGTATATCAACGCAGACAGTTAATTGAAGCTATAAACATCATTTCTTGAACCAGACAAATATAAGATACTTTCTGGTTAAGACAAGCAGGCATACGAATAAGGAGTCGTGTCTTTCAGAATGGTAGTTAGAACTTAGTTTGCCAACCCATCTTCACATTAACTTTTTCATAAACTACTCTTTGTAGTCACATTAGTCCAACCTCGCATAATTAAGCATATGACATAATTTTATGTAGTTAAGGTGACAGATTTTTCTTAATATCCAAATATAACATAGCATATGATGTAAATATTGATTCCAGAGTCCAGACAGAGGGAAAGAGAGAAGGGGAAAAGGAAACAATTATCATCGAATTAGAGCATCTTTATGCTCCACCTGCAAAATAAAACCTAGCTCCAAATGCTTGATAATATATAAACGGAAAGGGAAAAAGAGAAAAAGCAGAAAGATTTTGAACAATAGAACTTAACTCTGTAAGTTCATTACATAAGAGATGAAGCTACATAAATTTTGACCTCCAAGACTTGGTATATATTCATATACCACAGTTTTGTTTTTTAATAGCTGGGTAACGAAATAGTCTTTTAGAGGAATCTCTATGCAAATTATGTTGATTCAAGCCAGTTACCAACTATAAGCAGACTAACATTGAAAATTGACAGAATCTTCCTACTGTTTTTGGACCTTGGTTTATGCTTTTACAGATGAAAGTTTTGGTGCATACAACACATGAAGAGGGTTTGACCAATAAATTAGAAATTTGGAGATATACTTTGAAGTCAAAGGACTTCAAGTACAGCCAAACAGAAGTATTTGTTATGTGTATTCAAAGATAGTAGGGAATTTTCTCTAGCTTCCAATTTAAGATAGAGATAGATGCTGGATCTCAGATTCTCTAAGTCAATCATGCAAAATTAAAGTGAAATGATATAGATATTGTATACCGCATCCATTATGAATAGCTTTTAACAAGGTACTCCTCAAAAGTTCTCTACAATAAAAAAAAAAAACTCTTAAACTAAGGGCAAATCCTGTTGAATAAATGCCATGTGGATGACTCTATGTAACACATAGTAGTGGCGTAAACTCAAGTCTGCCTCAAAAAAAAAAAAAAAAAAAAGAAAGAGTATACTCAAGGCTAGACTTACAAGCCTGAGCGGTATTGGAGATGGGGATGAAACTTTAGATGATCAACTATACTAAAAGTGATGGAGTTAGACTGACACAACATATATCATATGGTGAGTGTAGCTACTCTCATTGATAGTGAGATAGAGAAATTATACTTGTTTGGTTTGGAGATATTAGGAGAAAGCCCCACAGCTGCCCCAGTGAAAATATACTACGTACAAATTATTACAGTGTTAGTTCCAGGTGAAACTGTGACTAGATTAAGCTGAGAGTTGGGCATAACAAGAATTATCGCATTCACATGCATGAAAAATTATACGTTTCTATCTGAAGCTTTTTCATTCTGCTATATGGCTGCTTCCCTAATTGAGGATGTAGCTTACTGTCAACAGCATATAAGGAAGAATATACCACTCTTAAGGATCTGTAGCTGTAACCAAAAGTGTATTTCACTATTTTTCTTATGTAACTTGCATATCCCCAAATCTTAAGGGATTCATAATTGACAAAACTACAGCTTGGCTTCATATTTATCTAACTCAAATGTCTCATTGTAATTTCTCTCTCTTAGAAGAACATGTCAGTAATGTATTTTCAATCAATAATTTGACAGTGAAATTCCACATAATTGTAAATGAATAACTGTAGCCTATAAACTTTCTCCAAATCCCACCAAAATTGGATTTTGACACACATGATTCTGTTATTTTAATCGGCAGGTGTTTGTAGCATATTTCAAGGTGCATTAAGTTCCTGATTATCCTTTCTTAATATGATAGTGAGGTATGTAATAGTAACGCCGTTGTCAATCTAAGAGTCAATGGAAAAGCAATAACTCCAAGGAATAACAGCTAAGCAAACATCAGTATGCAGTACCAAAGATCATAAATATTGCATTTACACATAAGAAAGGAAAATAACTACCTGTTATGAAAAGCTTGGTTTTGCTCATCTCTGCTTCTTTTGTAGAATCAGAAGCATTGGATGCCAATCTGTCACCTGCAGTCCATGTCTTCGCAATCAGAAGCTAGAGGGAATATTTAAATTCTTATAAGTAGTAATATACCAAACTTTGAAGAGCACATATAAGAATGAAGACACCACATACTCGTATGTATCACATGTAATTTTTTTACTTTGACAGTAACACATTCACTAATAAAAAAGATGAATTGTTTGTGATTTAATCAACTGGATATTCAAAATGAGAACACGGATGAAGAGAACACTGTATCCATACTGTTATGACCACAGATAAGGAGATACCACATACTGTTATTTTACTTATTTACGTTGTAATTTTAAGAGAATCCTATTATACTGCAAGTGGATAACAGTAGGCAAATATTTTCTCTGAGATTAATTTCACGCAAGCATGCATAAGTTTAACATAGCAGATCCTACAGAAAGAGCTGTGTGCCAATGAACATATAATCCATGCTGTCAATTGACAAGCAAAACAAATTTATGCCCACACTGATAATACATCCATCTAGCTAGTCTAGTGCCCTATAAATTTTGAATAAATAGGAACAATTTGAATTATCAGTGCATTATGAAACAAGTTTTATATTATCTGCTTAGAGAACAAATGAAAATGTTGAAAGTAGCTCAATACAAAAGTGAATTTTCTCCAATACACTGCTCATAACAAATTATGAAAAAACTGCCTGATTGCTATAAAGACGAGACATCTTAAAAGTAAAAAAACTATTGGATTGGTAGATAAAGAAAACGAAAGTTGGATCATATTTTGTACCAAAAAATACATAGCTGGAAATCAATCACATAAAGATAGTAGACAAACCTCCATAGTCTTTATTTTCGGACTCAAAATGCTCATCTGGCCGAACAGAAATAACTCCAGGCACAGCTGCACCAAAAAAAAAAAAAAAAGGTCTACAGTAAAGAACCCGATGCCAAATGATGAATTAATGGCCAAAGACCAAAAATTTACATACTAGCTAGCTCTTGCGCAGATTCATCATCGAGTTTACAGCAAAACCCAAAATTAGACTGCCATGATACATGATATAGACACATTTGCGCATCCTTCTCGCTGTCATTGAACAAATTAGTTACTCAACTAACCATTTCAAAAACTTACAAAGAAGCATGTGAATTCAACAGGCCAACACTTACTTTCCCAAGACTCTGGTTAATATGTTAACATAAGAATCAACTGCCTGTGCCTTGGATAAGACTCTACTAGACGGTTTTTTGACACGTACAAGCCAGTTTTTCGAACCCTTGGGGAACAACAATGAGGTCTGATTGTGTAAATTCGACACAGAAACATCTCGAAAATTTCGAGCACTATAATCCTTCTTAACAGAATTTATATCAGGGTCAGGAATAACAGATAGCACTCCAGGCAAACCTTTACAATACATGCAAATATTAAAATAGAAGCTGTAAAATTCAATTAAACACAAAAACTTTACAGCAATCACTACTATAACATACAGAATCAAAGGGTATTAAAGAAAATTGAACGCTCACCAGCAATAAATCGAGAGATTTCTTCATCTACAATACAGCAGAAACCAAAATTTGTATCACAGGAAGCATCATATATGCAACTTTGTGCATCCTTCTCACTGAAAAAATTCACCAACCCCTAACCATTAAGCATTAAATAAATAAACATCAATAAGATAAACAAAAAACAACACCAATTGTGCACGTGATTTTGTCATGAATTCCGAAACTAGGAAATGCATTTAAAACCCAAAAACCTACCTTCCTAGAGCTTTTTCCAAAATACTGACATAATAATTGATGATTTCAGCTTTTGATTGAAACCCATTTGGAGGTTTATCCATTATTACCATCCAGTGAACATTTTCACTTGAATTTGGGGCAGTTGAATTTAAGGGTGGTGGTGTTGAAGTTGAAGCAGCAGTTGTAATTCTTGAAAATGGTAGCTTGGGAAATGAAAAATTAGGAAGAAGTAACAGAGAATTGTTGTACAAATCATCGGAATTTTGTTGGGTAAATGATAGTGAAACTTGAAAGGAGTTTTCTTTTTTGAGTTTGAATGAATTTGAAGAGAAGAAAGAATTCAAAGGGTATGAGATTTTTGAGGGTGAAAATGGTGGTTTTTGATGATAATGGAGTTTTTGAGATGGAAATGAAGTGGTACTTAAATTGATGGTTGTAAGGGATGAATGAAGATGTTCCATGGCTCTCTTGAGTAATTTGGGCAGTAGTCTGTTACTCTGTTTAGTTCTTCATTGATACTTGAACCTTTATCTCTTTTACTTCGTATAATTCAAATTAATAATTCAAATTAAAGTCTAGAGTTCGAACCCACTTGTGCCAGCTCTGAATTATCGGCAGTCCCACCACCCACACTTTGTCGCCAAAAGACATGAGCGCTCTTGAGATATAGTTGCCCGCTTGTATTGCTTTGTACTCACAAGCTTCGTTTTCGCACAAGGCTTGCGCCCTTGCCGTCAAAAGTCAAGAGCGCGCCACACGATCCGGTGCCAATAATCCCGAATCGTGACATTATGTTACAACGATGGTTGATGGATCACTACATGCAAATTCATTAAGATCTTGTATTTTATTTACATGTAACAAAATTTCTCACTTTATTTCTTTCAATAAATTAGGTTAAATTTTGTAATCTTAAGAGTAAACGTACTAATTTCAATGAACCTATCCTTAAACAAAGGACAAACTTAGTTTAGAACTATGAATTAAGGCATACTAAAAATTGATTTTGACACCCGTCGAGAGCACAATTTTCAAATCTCTTCTCACGTGGAGGGGTGCCAAAAATCATATCCCGCACAAATTATGTAAGAGGTGATATGGACATTTCATATTGGAAAAACGTATTTAGAAATACTATACCATTTGTGTAGCATATTATAATGTTATAGTATGCCCAACACCAGCCTCAAATTCTCATAAACCATAGATTACATCGTACAAGAGGAATGAGGGGTGAAGGGATGGTTAGTCCCTCCATTTTCTCCCTGTGTGACAGGGGTTCGATTCCTCATCCCTTCCTCCAGTGATAGGAGGGAATTCCCTCGTATCTTACCATTTAAAAAAAATATAGTACATAGTACAATTGTACAAGGTAGTAGTAGAGATTAGAGTATATTTGAAATTAAACAAGTTAAAATAGAATACACTAGCTATTCACTATCCATATTAAGAAAAATAAATAAAGTAATACAAGTTGGTAGATGTGATTACTCTATAAAGGGAGCGAATATGTAATAAGAAAGATGATCTAAAAAGTGGACTAAGTTAGGGTAACACTAATACAATATAGAATAGTACGGAGTATTGATTTAACAAAAACGGAATAAAGTATTAAGTAGGAAGAATTTCATGAAACAGCCTAAAACAGTATAAGTAGGAAGAATTTCATGAAACAGCCTAAAATAGAATTTGGGAAGAACTTCATGAAACAATGAGATACTTTGTGAAAGAGACAAACAAAAATGAAAGAATGTACAAGAAAATCGTATGGAATATATTCTCGCCAAAGTTATTCCTCGATTAATTTTTTCCATGGAATACTTAAGCTAATTAATTCTCTAATACCTACATTTTTGCTTACATTAGAAATTAAACTAAAACGTGACCTAATACAAATCTTAAATGACATTGCATGCAATTTTGCAACTCAATGCATATATCTACAGATTCTACACTCTCATAAAAACAACCTCAAACTTGTACAATAATTATATATGCATAATAGGGATTCCTAAAACTAAGAATTACGAAGCCTCAAGATAGAAGCGGCGATTCAATGTTTTCTAAGTCATCCTTTTGCTCAAGCTCAGACTGTGATTCAAATCTTGATCCCAAGGCGATCACCAGAGCAACCATCTGTAATATACAAGTACATGTAAGCAATATAACAGAGTTTCAGGTGACAGTTGCCAGTTGGGAGAATTGATGAAAGAAAATCGATGAGGAGAAAATAAGCAAGAAGGGAAAAGGAGGGTGTGTACCATGGATAGTGATGAACATATTATACTAAAACCTTTGCAGTTAAACGGAGCATCTTCAGACAAGAACCATGCTGCAAGGAGAATGGTGGAGATGTCAGAAACATTTCTACTTAAAGTGAAGCTCATATGTTTGACATATATGATAAATGACTTACAGGTTAGTGGGCTCATAACAAGTGGTGATAATAAACTTGCAATGGATTGAACACCAGCAACAAAACCTTGAGCTTTACCCTGCAATCATAAACTAACATTTTGAATAAACAGAGAAATATATCCATGACTTCCTTAAGGAAAAAAAAAAAATTATGATTATCAGTGTGATCAGAAGTATATGACATGAATGCTATCTTGTTGGCCCGAAAAGACAGTGATCTGGCCTCTCAGTGCACCTGAGAACTTTAATAACCTCTATCTGATCTAAAACTGAACTGATATTATCTGTGTTGTGACATTGTAGGTTCAATGATTTTAGTTTTGATCTAATAATTTTAAGCTAACCTGATCTGAATTCATCTTTTTTGAACTAGGTAGAAATTTGGTCAACAAACATAGCCTTTAGTATGACCGATTTGAAAGGATCTTCCTTCGCCAATGAACATAAATCATAATTTGGAAATCGTGGGAAAACTTGGAGAAGAGAAGCATATGCTAACCTGATTATTAGAACTTGATCCTTTTGAAATAATAGCATAAGTCTGCAAAATTAGTAGGCCATGGAATAATATTAGACAGATGTAAACAGTATGTAGCGTTGGACTAGTAAAGGCATTGGTTTCAAGTACTCACAGAAGGTTTCACAAGCACATATATAACTCCGAATGAAGCACTCAAGTATGGTACCTGCAATGCAGCCAAAGAATATTAGCGCAGGTAGAAGGTTATGAATATCCTCAGGGTAAATCTAATGTTGCCAGCTACAATCAGTCAATCACTTGTATACTAATGATCTCGCAACAGAATAAAAGTGCATGTTCATTGACTTGGCTTTAGTAATTTGAACCTAAAAAGTTTTAGATGTGCTTACCCAAGCCGCCCAAGCAAAACCATAGAACAATGCCTGCAAAAGATATTTCAATACGGAGTAAAAGTTAATTAGTGTATTCAGATTTTACAATTAGTTAGACAAATAGAACTTGATTCATCACTTACATAAGCTATTGATGCAAGTAATGCTGCGCATAATATCACTCTTTCTCCAACCAATGGATTGATAAGAGGAAGCACCAATATCTAAGACAGACCACAAATTAGAAGATAATCAAGAAAGTAGAGAAGCTGTTCAGCGTATTAGTTTCTGGCATTAGCAGCTCATATAAGTTTGTTGATCTGTGTTTGTTCAGTGTGACTGTTATATATAATCATAAATTCATAATTACCAATATTTGATCTTAATCTGCTGTACAAGACATACCTGAGAAACAATTGAACCAGCTCCAACAACCATCAATATCTCAGAAAATTGATTTTTATTAAAACCAAAAGCTGCCTTCAGGTAGTACTGCAAGAAAATCATAGATATATCAAACTTCATAGCCCGTTAACTAAGTCCTTAACTCCTTATCACATACACAAGATGCCTTTTACTCATGTTTGAAAGATTGAAATCAGATGTAACACAATATGTCAAGCATGATGAGACAGACACGTGAATTATATAATTCCATGAGTCTTTAGTTTGAACCATCCAGATTTACACCAAATTGGAAAAAAAAAAAAGTTACATTTAGGAAAAATGCCTTGCTGATATGTCAGCAACAAAGTCACATCAGGGTCAAGAAGAATGACATTTTGTTATATATACACCGACCATTTTTATATGACTTGTGAAAGCTTCAGTTTTATGTAAATCAATTGTAACAAACAGCTATGAAGGTTTTGACAAATGTGATAGATTATCATGTATGAAACCCAAGTGAATAAATATCTTAGACATGCCAAAAAAAAATTCAAGGCAAAGTAGAGCAGTCTGAGTAATTCCTAATAATTGATATCAGATTTAGGTGCGAAACAATATTATTGTCAGAAACCTTACCAATAAAACACTGCTAATGCCAGACATTCCCAGTTCGTAAAAGAAAGAGACTAGAGAAATTCCCCGAAGTGTTGGACTGCAGCAAAGGAAATATCATCAATTAAGTTAGCATGGTACTGATATAATTAAAAAAATATAATCAGTGCTGATAATCATTAAGAAACTGTGAAACAAGCAAATGGGTGTAAAATGACTCAACCTGCTAACAACTACACTTGCAGCATATTTCATAGAATTGAATCGCTGCTTTGGGAATGTCAGGAACTTGCATAATAATGATGACTGTGGATCCTGCCTTTGTCTTTGTCTTTGTTTAACAGTTTCCGGTAAAAAGAACACCATATAAACAGGGCAAAAGATCAAGAGAGCAATTGAAACCTGGGAAAAGCAAGAAAACATGGTGAGTTATATCATATTAATTTAAAAAATCCTATAATAACAACTGACAAAGCTAAAATGAATAGCTTAAGGTAGGAAACTGCCTCAAAAATGTATTTTTCAGGGAGAAATCGAGCCAGCACATTCCCTAGTACATGTGATGCTGAAAATAAACCTGTGATCCAACTAAATGCCGCAGCTCTTTTGGAATCCTCAATCACATCTGCCTATGAAAGGACATAACTTTATAGTTTTAGTAACAATACTTCGTATATATTGTTTCCAAATGATGAGTTGAAAAACCGTTCTTACAGCATAGGCTACAGCAATGCAGAAGATACTCCCCTGGCTTATAATGTAGGAGATTGTTCGAAGAACATAATAAGCATATACAAATTCTCTGGATTGGTTAATGGCAAGTAAGGCTGCAAGAAATTAGAAGAATGAATATTAAAACTATTCGGTTATAACATACTGAAGGTTAATGGTTAATGTTCCCTACTTAATGAGTAGAAAAAATTTCCTCGAGTTTTACTAGAAAGAGTGTTTATAACATACTGAAGGGAATAATTGTGGTTGATAGAGTAATAAGGAGCAACGGTTTCCGCCCATACTCATCAGCAAGCTGCCCCAAGAGTGGAAGTAACACCATCTTAAATATTCCAACAACCTACATGTTTCAAATACTTGCATTAGAAACTTATAAACAAGGCAAAATTATATCTACATATAATGAACAAAACATACACTAGTGTCCAATGAACACCACTAACAAGAAAGGCATCCAAAAAGTATTACATCAAAATTCATAATCCATTCAGATGCCATCAAGTATTAGTATAGAAAAACATTCTTGTAAACTTTTTTTTTTTATTCAACAACCAGATATAACAAATTTTTATTTTATTGATTTCAGTGCAATCCATAATCAAACGAAAAACCAATCTATTATCACACCATCTATGTCATTTATTTGAGAGCTAAGCATCAAAACTTTTTCGTTACAGTGTCTATTCCTAGAGGAAAGAGTTCTTCAACATTTTTTTCCAAATTACTGAAAATGTAGTTTAATGCAAGTTTTTAAATCATACAGAATTGCATTTACAGAAATATTAATCACCAAAAAAAACTTTTTATTTTATTTTGTATTTTTTATATTTTGATTAGTGTATAAAGATATCTGCATTTTTGTGGTGAGACAATGACTATTTTTGTTGTTTTATTGCATAAATTTGTTTCTTACCCATTGGCTGTTGCTTTTCCTTTATTTCCTAGGGAGTATGTAATTAATTTTCTCTATCATTGGGGAGCCCATAACATTAATTACCATGATGGTTCAAGATAACATGTCATAATCGACTTTATCTCCTATGATAATGACAAGTTCCAGAAATATTTACACCAATACAAACAAGACCATGACAATATGTTACAACCATAATAAAAAAAAAATAAAAAAAAAAACACCTTAAATCAAGTTACATAAAAAACAAATTTAAATTGTTTCATTGTGATAAAGTTTTAGCTCAAGCGCGTGCATAGAGATTACAGGGTTACTTCGTTAGTGTAATAGGGGTTACTTCATCAATATTAAAGGGATTACTTCGTCAGTGTTATAGGGTTACTCGTTTAGTGTTATAGAGATTACTCGATCAGTATTACAGGGGTTACTTGATAGTGTTGTAGGGGTTACTTTGTTTTTTTTTTTTTTTTATAAATGGGCACATGATGGGGCCAGTCACACAAGACGGGTTGAAAAGAAAAAGCTTTACAAACAAAATTAACCAATATCTAACGGATTTCTCTTTTACAAAAGCCAATGATGTAAATAAGATCATTTACATATCTTAAAAAGCCAATGATGTAAATAAGATCATTTACATATCTTAAATTTCTTTCTAAGGTATAACCAAATAAGCTAATTGGTGTCACATACATTAATATCGAGTACTTAAAACTAGAATAGACTATTTAAATTGAGAAATTGTAAGAGAAAAGGACAAACAATAATTTGTCAATTATCAAATAAACTTGCAAAGAAGAGTCCATCCTCAAAGTGTATCGTGTCCCTCTCTAACAGCCAACTGCCCGCCTTTTTCTTTTCTTTTACCCTTTATTTGTTTACGTACAAGCAACTTTTTTTTTTTTAATAAAAAATAAACATTCTTTATTGTTCAAAAAAAAAAATTCTTTAAATTTAAATTTTTTAAAAAATATAAAGTACAGTATATACCAATTAATTCCCCTAGAAAGACCAACTTAACGAATTAAACCAATAAAATTAGTGACTAAAAGCCAAAAAAATAAAATATTTCATGAACCTTCACAATTGCCTTTACAAAGTTTTTTCTCTCTATTTTAAATATTATGGCATCAAAATATCAATTATTAGTTAGCACAACTTGTACAAAAAATATACAGTAATGTACACTAAACAATAATTTACTAGTATTAATTAATCATCAAAGATACTTTTTTCACGAGGATGGTTTTAGACTTTTCTACACTAACGTCAGCTTATCTGGAAAAAAGAAAAAAAAAAAAACAAATTATTCTATTTGTTGTAAAAAAACACTTTTAAATTTAAAATTTCTTAAACAAATCAAGGATCAAATTAAATTACTACTCCGTACTTTTTATCATTTCAAGTAACTTTACTCCTAATGTCAACATTTATTATTCACCGGTTTTATCTAAAAGTTTGTTTGTTAAACCAATTTTACTTTTTCATTAATAGAAAACCAAAAGAGAAAAAGATCCTCCCTGTATTCCACGTTATAATTCCTGTTATCATTTTTTGAAGACTCAAATTGTTATTTTTATTTCTGTTTTTATAGTATGTAAGGATCATTATACCCTTATTTTTTTAACTTTATTCATTCCTAAATCGCGCTTGAATTTTGTCAGTTCGTCTACTTTCTCCTACCATTTCTTAAATACGGTGAAAGAACACAAACAAAAATTATAAACTTAGACGGAGGGAGTAATAATAAAAAAGGAAAGGAAGAAAAATTACAGTTTGTTGAACGCCGTTAAGATAAATAGCTTCAGAACAAGTAGTTTGTTGAGGACAAAGAGCACGAGTAGTAACATCAACCAAAACAGAAACCGTCATTTCCTCCGCAATCCAATGTACACATAACGGCAATAGTAAGTTCATCAATGGCCTTATCTCTCTCATTCCCTTCCGAAACTCCGTCGTCATCGTCGCCGTCGTTGTTGTCGTCATCGTCTTTGACATCGAAATTAATCTTGAACTCACCTATATCAATTCCTATTTTATATATGATGATTATAATTATATGTATCAAACAAAAAAGAACAAGAGAAGGTATGTAGAGATAATAATAATGATGGTGAGATTGATGAAATAGCTTTGAAGTGAGGAGTACAAATAAAAGGACAAAAACAATAATCTGGGAACACAAAAAGAGATGTAATTAATTGAATTGATTGAATGAATGAATTATTTTTATTTTTTATTTTTGGTGGGCGATTAATTTGGGATAGAGTGAAAGAAAAAAAAAGATGTGGCAATATATTAGTCGTAGAAAGGGATTAAAAAATGGGAGCGTGAAGGAAGGGGGTGTGTTACTGTGTAACATACGCTGGCGCGTGTTAGTCGTGTGATTAGGACTATACTTCTTGTGCCCCACCTTGCTTGCTTCTTAATTTGTTATCCATGTTTCTCCATCCTCACATTCTACATAATCCTCACTTCTCATTATGTTTTTTTTTTATTACGAGGTTTTTTAATGGGATATTCTCTCTGTTTTAGATTAATTGGTACAGGGTATATACCAAGTAAGATTTTATACTCGTACATGTTTTGAGATGTGTAAAAAACCTGTCAAGCGCTCTCGGAGCATGAGATAAGATCATAAGGGAACTAAAAGAGGTACTCCATAATATTAAAGTAAAATAAACATTATTGAGATCGATTGATGCATGATTTTGACATACATTCTAAACTTACTACTATTTTAGGTTATATTAGGGGTGTAAATGAGTTGATACGTTCGTGAACTACTCGCGAACAAGCTTGGTCAAAACTCGTTTGTTAAGCTAACAAACAAGCTTGAACAAAAATTTTAAGCTCGTCAAATAGATGAATAAAGCTCAAACAACATCATGTTCGACTCGGTAATGTTCATGAACAGCTCGTTTAAATCCATTTATAAGTTTTTCACGCCCATTTAGAACTCGGACAATTTATATATCTTTTATTCATACATATTTGTAAAAAGTACTAATTATTCATCATGTAAAGGCATATAAAACTCTATCATTACCTTTTTCTATATAAAGAATATAAACATCTTATATAAAATTATATAAATGTGTTAAAATTTGTAAGAAACCATTTTTTTAATGATAAATTAGGGCTCGTTTATTTAATCAAGCTCGATTTAAACCAGTTCAAGCTTGAAACTTAAACTTAAATTGTAAACGAGTACGTTCGTGAACAAAGCTCGAACAAGCCGAATTCTTAATGAGCCCAGTTCGAACAAGATTTTTAAAAGCTCGTTCAAGCTCGGGATAGTTCGAACACAAATAATTCTTATCAAGCTTAGCTTGAACAGACTAAAACTCAGCTCGACCCGGATCGTTTGCAACCGTAGTTATATATTAATTAGTTAGCCATCGCTTTGAGAGATTATAAACTCCTACACCATAACAAATGAGGATTTTTTTTTATTTTAAAAATAATTATCATATTAAAAAAATGTACTTTATTTTTTAACGCATTTTTTGTATAGCCGACTGACACACACCAAAGCACTTAACAGGTAACCCCTGACCGACCAAGTAACCCATAAATAAGTAACTCCAGTCACACGGTGTGGTCAGCCACATATGAAACTTTTTATCTAGCGCAATTTCTATTTGGCTGGCCACACCAAAACACTTAACAAGTAATTCCTGACCGATAGAATAACCCCTGACCGAGTAACCCCTGAATACGTAATCCCTAAATAAGTAACCCCGGCCACACGTTGTGACAAGCCACATATGAAAATTTATTATACTAATTGATTATAATTAATTTAATGATTATTACCTATTAGATCTTTTTTTAGTCACGCATGTTAATACTAAATTTCAATCACTAATATCTTGAATTATCAATAAGTCTATATTACAAAACTTGGATATTAATAAAATTCACATTTCTAATAAGATCTCATTTAATCATGGAGTATGTTATTTCTGATGTTTAAATCATCAGAGATGGTAAAAGAGCATATTATGTGGATAGTGTCCAAAAAGAAGAAACTACAGTATTAGTTTTCAAACATTTGAACAGAACATACCCGTCATGTGAGAGGAGTGAGTTAAACTGGTCTAAAAGTGTGCCTTATTTTCTTATTTAATTTTTTGGAAAACTCGAAAACAGAGATATCAGAAACTGAAGAAGAAAAAAAAAATAAAAAAAAAATCCATGGAAGAGGCTGCGCATTAATTGAAATCACTGTCCAGAATTTGACTTTACAGGTGGAAGTTGAAGAAATAGAATTATGAACATTTAGAAACTAATTCACACATTTTAAATCATTGATCTGTACATTTTAATAAAACAAACCATCACATGTTTACTTTCATGAAGATTGATCAGCCTGCTGTTTTGAAGGATGGAAAACATTATGCATCTTATGCAACAATTTTGCTCGATGGTGTGGTTTCGGAAAGCAAGAAGGTTGGCCTGATTCATCGGATGATGATGTATCCTTCTCCTTGGCCTTAGCTTTGGCCTTCCTCCTCTTGAGTTGGAAGAATTGCTGCATTATGTCAGCGCATTCTTCTTGCAGTATCCCTCTTCGAATATCCATCTTTGGGTGGAAAGGGTGTACAGGAGCAGCTGGCTTCTCTGACTCTTCTGAGTGTTGTTCCCCTTCAACGCGATCCGGAAAAAGCCTACAATGCGTCCCACAAAACGTAAGTCTTTGGACAAGTTTCTGTATTTAATTTTACAAGTAATGTCTGCTTTAAGAAATTCATATAGAACAAAGCAAGATACTATGATACGGAGTATGAGAAATTTCAAGATTTTACAGTTTTTAGAATCTCTCCTCAAAATAGAAAAGTTGGCAAAAAAAAAAAATAAACATGAGATAATGTCTTTTTTTTTTTTTATGAGGCTCAGCTGCTCAGGAACATGAGATAAAGTCTGTTTATTTTTTTGTACAAAAAATTGTTAAGAAATGCCTGTATGAAAACAGATTCCGATTGCTTAAATCAGAGACTGAAACAACAAGTTAAGGGCACTGACAACACAGGTGGGATGAGGAAGGAAGGTGCATCTCACCTGAAAGTCAAAACTAAAAATATACAAGAGGGTCATATACTTGCAATCAGCTAGCCAGCTAACACCTAATAACACATACTTCGTATTAAGTTACAATGGTCACTAACATGCTGATGGAAGCATTATGCCGACATAATTCGAAATAATAAGCCAGTCATACTCGCAATCCTCATGGCTATGTTAAGAAACACCAAAGCTAAGTTTCACATTAAGTAATCCAAGTGAATGTATAGTTTAAATTCATCTATACCTTATCCAGCTGCCATCAGCTCCAAGAAGCTTATTAGGAGCACCCCAAACAAGGGTACTGATTCTGGCTTGAAGAATGGCTCCAGCACACATGGGACATGGTTCCAGCGTTACATAGAGAGTGGTTTCCTGAAGAGGTAAAAAGGGAGATAATTTCAGGGCATACAAAGTCAAAAGAGGTCCCAACAATTGTAAATGTTACACTTTGATTTTTCCACTGTTGAAATCGATTAGAGAAGATAGATAGGGATGATAATCATATACACATGACAAGCATCATTATTTTATTTTACGGAGAAAAAAAAAAATTAACTGTGAAAAATAAATCACGGCAAGAGTACAAGGTGTCCTCACAACGAAATACTTTTACAAATAAACAGTTTCCAACTCCCATATTGTATAGCTTTGGAAAGTCCCAGCCACCTTGGCCCATTAATAAAGATGCTAACAAAGTTGCTTTGGTTACAAGGAACAGTAATATCATGACAAGCATAATTAATGGTAATTTTATTCACCTTAAAAACGTTCGAAAGGATGAGGATGGATAAATTACAAAGAAAAAACATGAGGGTACATGTGATAATGACAATAAGAATGGCAATAGTATCATATTTACTATCATAGATAGGAATTTCTCCTACTATGTATTTAGAGTCTATGAATGGCCTGAACCCCAAGATTCATACTATATCCTCAAAAAATTATATAAAATCTTAAAGTAAGCACAAAGATACCTTGTGTAAAAGCAATTACACCATCGGCGATCAGGCCTTGAGCAATCTCAAAAAATTGCAGTTTCATTATGGTGTATCTACATAATTTACCCATTGTATACTAATCATAGAATGTCCAAGACATTCCACTTAAATTTCTAATGTTTCCGTGGTTATTCGTTGCATTACAAATTTTACTGCACATAGACATTGCCTTACAAATAAACATACACTAATGAAGTCCACATTCAGGTAACATAGTTCTAGCAGTTGGAGTAGAGAGAAAAGTCAGAAGACTTACAAAGCAGAAGCACAAACAATCAGAAGATTCACATAAGATACATACAGATATCGGATACTTATGATAGATGAAACATGGAATTATGGAAAAATGAGGAGGGTGAAAACACATGCATAAGCTAAACAATTGATTAAGAAATCCCTGCACCACTTCATCAGCTTGTTTTAAGACATGTTACAACATTAAACTACATATGTAAGTATATGCAAAGAATCTGGCCATATGTTTCAAGGGAATATGCTAACTTCCTAAGTATCATATATTTTGATCTTTCATCTGGACAATAGTGAATCCAGAGCAGATTTTCCATCCCAAACCTTTACAAGCTACCCAAGCCAAACATCAGCAAACTGAAGGAACTTGCACAGTGAATGCACCAGAAACCTATCCAACCCAAAAGTCAGCATTTCTCACAATGTCTTACCTCATATTTCCATTGTGGGTAAAAAGAAAATTATGCACAATCAGAACTTTTAACAATATGAAGATGAATAATTGAAATGGACTTGAAGCCCATAGGTCCTCTCTTTGGCACATTTCACACAGATATCTGTCTACTAAAAAGAGAGTGCAGTTGAAATTTCTGCAGTAAAAAGAAATTTACCGAAAGCCGCCATGTTCGAAGGATGTTCGAGGCCTCCCTTATGCAAAGCATTTCAGCATGGGCAGTGGAATCCCTCAATTCCTCTACCCTGAAACATGCACATTAATTAGATAATAAAGTTTAAAACAGAAACAGAGAAAATAGTCTTGAATCCTTATTCTGGGAATTACAAAGCATACTTACAGATTGTACCCACGAGCAATGATTTTTCCGTTTTGCACCAGTACTGCACCAACTGGAACTTCCCAAGCATCAGCAGCCTTCATTGCTTCTGAAAGCGCTTCCCTCATAAAAATTTCATCAACTTTCCGTTGCTCACGTTCACGTCTATAAGCATCTTCCCATTCATCATACCTTTGCAAAACTACCTTGCTGCGTTGAAGCTTCTTTCTTTTTAGTTCATCATCAGTTACCTCAGAAGCAATAACATCAGTTACCTCAGAAGCAATAACAT